GGGGCCTGGCCTCTGCTGCGCTGGTGCCGCGGCTGCCCCCGTGCTTCTGTTGCTGCCCCTGGGTGCTGCCGTATAAAGTCTTGGTTTATGAAGTTGCTGGGCCGTAATGGTGTTTTCTAGCTTGTTAAAAGCGTCATCTTAGAGTAAATCTGTACTGTGTTGAAGGGATGCAAAAGGGTTAACAAAAGGACCTTTGCGAAGCCAACTGTAGATCCATATTAAATCGCTAGCATTGTGTTTTAGGCTAACTTACTAATCATATGAAGTGAACTATAGGTGAGAAACTAACACTGTAGGGAATATGGAAGAGGAGAGATTAGTAGCAAATGGCCCATCTTTGTTGCCAGCCTTGGAAGGCCTGTAGGAGAATGAAGGGTCTGGCACTTTGTCGATATGAGGAGAGGCAAGGATGGGGAGCCGGTTGGTACCGGCTGTGTTGTTCTGACAGTGGAATAAGGGGGGTAGAAGCTGGAGTTCACCAAAAGGACAAGGTGAAGAAGAGGAGTGGATGAAGTAAACGACCCCTGAAGACCACCGACTCAAATCACTGAGCATGCGCAGTCAGGAGGGACTTACAGAAATGACCTTTTGAAACTAATTTTAATATGAAGTGGGGACAGGTTATGCCTATGTATAGGCGTATTGGGAAACTTCATGTATATGTAACGCTTTGCTACTGCAACATATAAATGGGGCAAGCTGCCGTGTTGTGGTGCACACGACTTTGGTGGGACTACCCTCCGTGCTGCCCAGCGCTGAATAAACATACCTACTTTACAGTCTTACAGATTGTGAAGTCTGTTTCTGCATGTCGGTATGATATTACAGAAACTTACTTAAACTTGCTTACTATAAAAAAGTGAAAGAGGTAAGGAGTCACAGTGGGGAAGCCAGCTGAAGTCAGATGTTTCTACAGTGTGCGCGTGGACATGTCGGTCAGAAGATAGGTCCCACTGTATTAAGCAGTGATAATTCTGCAAAGTGAACCCTTAAAAAAATTCCCACAGGAGGAGTTTGCTCCAGGAAGGGCGTATGATTACCGGCTACAGTTTCAAGGAGTTGGTTTTTCTTCCTGAAGAGGGGAGCTATGATGTCTGTGGTACATCGGCTGACAGCGGGGTGGCTCGTGGATCATCTCTCTTTCATCAACCAGTGTGGCTATGAGGTCTGTGACTCCTTTGCATACCCTGGTAGTGTCACTCTCAAACCTTCTGCCACTTCTACCGAAGATTGTCATGCGACTTCTACCTTTGCTGCCACCTGCTCATCAAGAGATCGTCCCATTCCTGGTCCTAGAGATGCGATAGAAACAGAAGGTAAAACAGCAAAAATAAGATACACGTTTCGGGAGGAGTTCTTTGACGTTTCTAAGCCCCATATAGCTGCAGCTCCTGAGGAGCAGTTGTGGCAGGGATGCTCTGAGGTGAGTCTCACAGAAGTAAAGGCCAACAGCGACAGGGAGGAACATCGAGAAGGAACCAAGAGTGGCGTCGGAGATTCTGTTGCCAGTGCTAGGAAGGTATGTTCTCCGTAATACAGTAAACTACAGTAATTCCCTGGTAAATAGTATACCACTAACATTGTTTTGCACATTTCAGTTTCCTGAGGTTATGTAGGAGAGCAGGAACTTTTCCACAATAGATTTTAAGATGCATGGAAAATGTAAGCACTCATGAGGATATTCCTGTGTCCCTTACATCAGTAATGTGCATCCTGTGACTCAAAAGCAGTGGGTTGCTTACAGTGGGTTGTGATCAGGCACTTGAGCTGAAACGGTGGTAGCTGTCAAGATTGTACAGATTAACCAGGAAGGAAGGACAGTTGAATTTATTCTCAGTATGTAGAATGTTCAGTACTGTTCCTTATGGACCAAAAAGAATAAGTCTCAGGTCTAAACCAACAAATGTAATTGTGAAGACCTAGTTAATTTTCTCCTGTTATTGGTAAACTGCACTTGGCAGCTGAACACATACCTTTTAGTATGGTCCCAAAGGTAGTATGAACATGAACTGTGGCATGCAGTAGGTACCTTCAGATCCCAGTGCCGTGAGTAACATAACACAGCTTTAAGCCTCTGCACCTTGAGAATGCCTACAGCAGCCTAGGTATTTTGAGCTCATCTTTTTGCATATTGAACTTAAACTTCCGATAGGAAGAGATGGAAGTTTCTTCTGCTTTTAAAAGAGTTAATTTGTAGTTCAGATGTGTTTGATCTTTTTTTTTTTTTCTTTAATCATGGAGTAATATGGATTTTTTTTTCCACTGTTTGCTCATTCTGCAGAAACGTAAAAGGAAATGTGTATTCAACCAAGGTGAACTGGATGCTTTAGAATACCATTCAAAGGTAAGTCTGAACAAAAGTATATTTTGCAAGTACAAGATAACTGATTTTGGGCATGTACAGCATGCAAGACGTGGTTACAAACAAGTTTTGTTCTTGTAGCTTGTTCCATTAACAGGAAGGTCATCTCTCCAGTCCTTAAATGAATAAATGCACACAGAGAATATCTTCTCTGTAGGTATAGGTGAAACAAGGTAGACGTGAAACTGCAGCTGAGACGTTTTGAAGAGCTGGAAGCCTCATTCACAAAATATCTTTCACTGTTATGGATAACTGAGCATTATATAGTGATGAGTTGAATATTAGTTGAACAGGAAAGTGACTGATTTGAAATAAACAGCATAACCTGTTCTGAAGATCAACTCATCAATAGTATATCAGGACACTGTGCTGAAGTTATTTGAAGCTTCTCTGACTAAATGTGCTACAAGATGTCTTGCTTCTGCTAATGAGAAAGAATTATTCCCTCTAACACTTTACATTGTCATACTAAAACATCATGAATGAATTAGAATTCACATCTCTATTTAGGCTCACAGCAGTGATATATTGGTGAAATTACAACCAAATTACACTGAAGCATGTTAGTAAATCCTAGAAATGTAATCTGTAGATAATGTTTGATGTATTCTTACTGCTTTCCTAAACAGCGGTGTGAACCTGAACTAGGACCTACACTTGCTTTCTTTTCTCTGACAAAGGTGTTAGTCATATTGGGCTTTTTGTTTAATTCTGTTCCTCTTAGACTATATTTAAATGACTAATTTTTTCTTCTTTTACATGGCAGCAATTTTGTAGTAAACATGTACAGTTTGCTGTGATACAGCATAGATGTCTTGTAATTACTGTTGTGAATAAGCTATGCGTGTGCAGAATCGCCTTAAAGGAGAGAACTTTGAAGTTCAACATCAAACAGAGTTTTATAAATATGAAAACCTTTCAGCTAAAATTAAGTCATTCAACAATAAGAATAAGGGAAGAAATGAAGAGAAGAAGCTTGATGTCTTGAAGACCTGTGTAACTTCAAATGATTTTTGGTGAATATGCAAAACAAGACACATTTTTGAAAAATCTGTGATCCCAGTTAGCTGCTGATACCGTTCAAAGATTAGAATGTATTGTTTTTACCGTATTTGTAGTGTTAAAGGTTGTAGTTCTGCAAGTCAATTCATACTATTTTGGCACTCATTCATATCTTTAGAATCGTTTTCCGAAAAAAAAACCAATTGTGTAACTTCATATGATTTTTTGTGAATATGCAAAACAAGACACATTTTTGAAAACTCTGTGATCCCAGTTAGCTGCTGATACCGTTCACAGATTAGAATGTATTGTTTTTTACTGTATTTGTAGTGTTAAAGGTTGTAGTTCTGCAAGTCAATTCATACTATTTTGGCACTCATTCATATCTTTAGAATCGTTTTCCGAAAAAAAAACCAACCCAAAATCAAATTTGTGTCTGCTAGTGAAAGTAGGCATTGAATCCTTTTATGAATTTCAGTCAGAGTCAACATAGGGAACTGTACAAAATTTGCTAAATTCTTTCAGCAGCCATTTGTTAAAACTACTGTTTAAATTGATAGTCAAGTGGCTTTGTTCACTTGCAAATTAACACATGGACATAAGAAGAAAAGCCATCTGCATTAATTCAGCTGTACAACTTGTAGCATTTCTGTAGATATATTTATTAATTCTGTTAAAATAGTATGAACTTTTACAGTCACAAACCTAGATACTAAAAAATTATGACTCTGTCCTCTCAGATATCTAGATGGTGGTGCATTAAAGAAATTATTAAAAAAGAAAATCCCCCCCCCCCCAC